GGGTGCACATGCTTTTAATCTCAGTTCTCAAGAGGCAAAGGCGGGTGAATCTCTGACTTTGAAGCCAGCTGGATTACATAACAAGATCTAGGCCAGCTACAGTGAGACCCTGTCCCAAAAGAAAACCCAAACAAATTCAAAACAAAACCAGAAAATGCAAATAAGACAAACTGAAAAATGTTTTTATAACCTGCAGTCTCATCATCAGAAATAACCTTTAGAGGGCTGGAGAGAGGGCTCAGTGGTACAGAGTACTTGGTGCTTTTCTAGATGGTCAAGTGTTCAGTTCCGAGCACCCATGCCAGGGGCCCACAGCTGCCTGCAGTTTCAGCTCTAAGGGATCCGACACCCTCTTTTAGCCTCTGTGGGCACCTACATTCACATGGATAGATACACACATAGATACACACACACACACACACACAAATAAATCTTTATTTTTATTTTCAAGACATGGTTTCTGTATAGCCTTGGCTGTCCTAGAACCCACTCTGTAGATGAGGCTAGCCTCAAACTCATCTGGTTACCTCTGTTCCAGAATGCTGAAATTAAAGGCAAGAAAATCTTTTAAAAAAGAAATAGTTTTTAATATTTGGGTACATATCCCAGTTTCTTCTCTGTGTATATTTTTCTCCTGCAGAAGTATTTTGGGATCAGGCTTTACGTGTTAAATGTGTTCCTTTCCTCTGTAGCATATGCACTAATTACATGATACATTTAAGGTACCAGGGAGTCCAGTTCCACCTGAGAAAAGCAGAGCTCTGGATTTCATGGAACACGTTCAGATGATGAAAGCCACTGTGAGAGAGTACCAAATAGAATCTACAGTGACACATTTGAGGGGGTCATTTTTGATGGGACGCTTGGAGGTGGGAGCATGTCCGTGGGAATTTAGATTAGACATTTAAATTCTCAAGACTTGAGAGAACAGGAGTCCAGGGTGTTCTGCCATTTGGGCTAAACCAGAGGGAGACAGATGGCTGAGGCAGAGTAGGTTAGAGGTTAAGAGACAGATGAGTGTTAATACTTCAGAGATAACAGTAGTGATATAGATCAGTTTGAGTTTAAAGATGCCAAGACAAGGGCTAGTCAGGTGGTTGAGCAGCTTAAGTCCTTGTATGGAATCTGGCAACCTGAGCTGGATCCTCTGCGGGGGATTATACATTATAGAAGGAGAAAATGGACTTTCTCAAGTTGTCCTGACTTCTACTGGTGTTCACAATAAATGGATACGGTAGTAGCATTAAGGAGACCAAGACAACTATGTTTAGAGACTTTGTAAGAAAATGGCTGGAGACCAGACAGAAGTAATTTCTTATAAAATCCTGCAAAGGATGACAGCTCAGAGCACACATGGAAGGCAGCAGATCTTAGGGCCCCAGTAGGACAAGGCAGGACTTGGTAGCTGAAAGGTAGTGAAGGATAAAGCACAGAGGGATCAAGGATTATATTTAGGCTTTCAGTTTAAAAGCTGGGGAGGTGTTATTTACCGAGACTTCGGGCTTGAGGGGATATCAGGCTTTCGCTGAGATGTCTACCAACATTCGGGTGGAGAAATCTAGCCAGCACTAGTGTGTGGTTCTCCACGGGCTCAGTGGTCAGGTGGGAATAAGGTCTAATCTTGTCAATGGTTTCAGCCCAAGATCTATGAAGGTATCTTAATATTTTTAAAGAGGTCTGATTTTGAACTCTGAATTTCCTGTCCTTTCCTCGTATATGCTAGATTATAGATGTGTATTGCTACACCTGACTCAAGGTCTTTTTTTGAACCACACTTGAAGATTTTAAAATATAAAGCCCCCTCTCATCAGGGTGTATTCCTCAATGGATCCTCCCAAGGCGTACCCAGTAGAACAGTACCAGGACTCAGAAAGGCGCCTCCTGGAAGCTCATGCTTATTCCTCTCCAGGCACAGCACTTCCTTCTCTTCTGAGAAGAACCACTAGGTTTTTGATTTTTTTTTTAAATTGACATTTGTACAGATAGTTTCTACCAGTGAGATTTACTTAGCCAAGTTTATCAATTATGTAGCAGACCCCAACAGAATATTCATTATTCTGTATGTTTCCTCCCTCCTTCCCCCCTCCCTCTCTCTATTACATCAGGGATACTTGTTAGTACTGTTGCTGTATAGCTGATGTGTGGTGGACATATGCTGTTACTTATCCATTTAACTATAAATGACAGCTGGCTAGTTTCTAGTACTTGAGGATTGCCTATAATGCTGTTAAAAATATAAAAATATCTAAGAGCCTCAGTGGATAAGATTGCATATTACTCAGGCCAGAGAGATGACTCAGCCATCAAAGGCTAGGCTCACAACCAAAAATATAAGAATGCATATTACTCTTCCAGAGGACCCAAGTTCAGTTTCCAGCATCACAGTAGGTAGCTTACAACCACCTATAATCCAGCACCAAGGGATATGACCTACTCTTCTCTGGCATTGGTGGGCACCTGCACTACCATGCACATATACACAGAATTGAAAATAAATCTTTAAAGTGTGTGTGTGTACAAACACATCTAGCACTCATATGATGTTACTGTTGGATGTATACCTCAAAATGGATTTTTTTTCATTATATGCATTATATTCAATAGTAATTTCCCCCAAGTATTGCTTTAATGTATTTTCCCAACATAAGAGAGTGCCTGCCAGTGTCCTTAGAGCACAGATTTTTAAATTTTACAAGCATTGGTGTTTTGCCTGCATGTATATCTGTATGAGGGTGTCAGATCCCTGGAACTGGAGTTACAGACGGTTCTGAGCTGCCATGTGGGTGCTAAGAATTTAACCCAGGTCCTTTGGAAGAGCGGCCAGTGCCTGTTCCTATCTGCTAAGCCATCTTTCCAGCCCTACAAAGGTTTTTTCTTTCTTTCTTCTAGTGGTTTAACATTAAGTTACCAGGTTGGCAGGCTGGCTTAGTGAGTCCAAGAGTTTGCTGTGCACAAGCCTAATCACCTGAGTCCCATTCCTGGAACCCACACTGCAAGAGACAAACTCCCAGAAGTTGTCTTCTGACCTATACATGTGTCTGTGGCGAATGCATGCACATATACAATGATAAAATCTCAAGAAGCACATTAATTTATCTACATAGCTAGAGTAAGCAGTAAATACCTGACACAGACTGATTGGATGGCAGATGACAGTTAAGAGGGAAGATGAGCTGCACTGGCAATGCCCATGTATAGGGAAGCTGACAGATGAAGGGCAAGGAACGGAAAGAATGAGAATTCCAAGAATTCTGAACACTTAAAATGAGAAGAAAAGAAGTCCATTTTCGGCCATTTCAAGCCTCTAGGGCTTAAGCATTTATTACTCAAATGGAGACATCCGATGGACAGTTGGATGAGTCTAGAGTTTAGAATGTGAAACGGAAGTTGGTCATTTGAATTTTATTTACTTACTTGTTTGGGGTTTTCAAGCAGGGTTTCTCTGTGTAGCCTTGGCTTTTCTGGAACTTGCGCTGCAGACCAGGTTGACCTTGAACTCAGATCGTACTGCCTCTGCCTCTTGAGTGCTGGGTTTAAGGTGTGAGTCACTACTATAGTCTAGTACATATACTGAGCATGTGAAAGAGATGAGGTGGTGCCATCCCAGTCTTGGGACATTTTACTTAAAATGTAACAGAGGAAGGCCTGCAGCTTGGTGGAAAGAATGCTTGTCTTGTATGTGTCAGGCCCTGGGTTGGATTCTGTGGACATTCTCTCCCACAGAAAAAGGATGAGTTAAAAGAGAAGCTTGGAATAGGTGTCATTGCAGTGAGGCCAGTGTAAACTGCTAAATGCCGCACACGCAAAACTGGTCTGGGACTGCCCAGCTCTCAGTACATAACCGTGCCCTGGACCTGGGGGTGTGACTCATGCCACAGGTGGGAGGTGCTGGGTCCCACACCTAGCCCTGTAACAAAACAAAGTTTCTATAGTCTGGTGCTGTAAAATTCTATTATATAACTATTACATCTGCTGCATTAGTGTCAGCTACACCAGCATAGCTGACTGAGTTCCTCGGATCGGCGGAGGGCTGAGGGCAAAAGAAAGAAAGACAAGGAGTCATCTGGTAAAGAACCAAATGCTATATTTTCAACTGCATAGCTCCCTTTTATACTCCCCACAAAACAGGAATAAAAACAGGAACAACGATCAAAACAGGAACAAGGAGACACACTCGGCAGCCTACCACCTAAGTTTGGATTTCTCCTTGAGCAGTCTTCTCAGGGAAATGCATAGAGACGGGGGAGCGGGCATAACAACAAAGGTGCAGAGGATGGTGACTCACACATTAGTTCCTTGTGGAGCACTGTTAGACTACAGAGTCAATCTAAGGATATGTGGTTTAAAAAAAAAAAAGTGCAGTTCTAATTCTATTCTCAACCCAAGGAAATTGATCAGGACAAAGTCTGTAATTTTGCTAAGTGATTTATGAGATCTTACATTTACATTATAAAAAGTGAACACCTTTCTGGTGCTTATTGGGCTCTGGGATCTGCTTTTTGGGAGTCATCTTTTGTCCCCAAGGGTTTCTGGGGGACAGCTATAAGGTGGAATACCTGAGAATGGAAAGGGCTTAAACGTTGGTTCTGCAAAGTGAAAAGGGTCAGATAAAGTTAGGTTTGTGAATTGTAGCCTTGGCTAGAAAACGTCTCTTGTCCGTGAAATTAAATAGTTAGTAAAAGAAAGACATAGGGCTGAAAATGAGGACAATTAACACGACAGACTGCAAAGCACATGTATCCTAACACAGTAGTTTAAAACCCATAGCAGGTAGTGTCTGTTTGGTTTGAAGAAACAGTGGAGCCTATTTCTAGCATTTCCACCAGATCACTGCCCCGCCTCCCAGGTGTTACTATGGCAACAAAGCACGCGCTGCCCTGCCCGGGCTAATCCAGCCGTTACCTTCTCCTGGGCTGGTCAGTTCTTCAAGAACCCGACTCTGAAGCTCATCCTAGACACTTGGTTCACTGGGTCTGGGCGGAGGGGCCCCGTGGGTCACCATGGCCAAGGGGGCAGCCTCCTCAGCGCTGGAAGACATGGATCTGAGCGGAGAGGAGGTGCAGCGGCTCACCTCCGCCTTTCAGGACCCAGAGTTCCGCCGAATGTTCTCCGAGTACGCCGCGGAGATCACGGACCCTGAGAACCGGAGGCTCTACGAGGAGGAGATCACAGCACTGGAGCGGGAGCGTGGGGTGGAGGTGCGGTTCGTGCACCCTGAGCCGGGCCACGTGCTGCGTACCAGCCTGGACGGGGAGCACCGCTGTTTCGTGAACGTGTGCAGCAACAAGCTGGTAGGCTTACCCAGCAGCCGACCGGGCCCCGGGCGCGGCGGCACCGCAGCTGGCAGCCACTGGTCCCTGCCCTATAGCCTGGCCCCGGGCCGCCAGTATGCCGGCCGCAACGGTGCCCGCTACACCGTCTACGACGTGGTCTTCCACCCCGAAGCGCTGGCGTTGGCCCGGAGCCACGAGCGCTTCCGCGAAATGCTAGACGCCACGGCCCTGGAGGCAGTGGAGCAGCAGTTCGGCGTCAAGCTGGACCGCAGGAACGCCAAGACGCTAAAGACCAAGTACAAGGGGACGCCCGAGGCCGCAGTGCTCCGCACGCCCCTTCCCGGGGGCGTCCCGGCTCAGCCCGACGAGGAACCATCAGGGCTTCTCCCGGACCCACCATACCCATACCGCTATCCCGCGGCGGCGGAGAGCACCGCCCGCTCGCCCGCGTCCCCGGCTCCCGAGTCCGTGCAGCGCCCGGAGCCCACCGAGCCGCGCTGCTCCGTGGTGCAGCGCCACCACGTCGACCTCCAGGATTACCGCTGCTCGCGGGACGCGGCCCCAAGCACCGTGCCGCACGAGCTGGTGGTCACCATCGAGCTGCCGCTGCTGCGCTCGGCCGAGCGGGCGGAGCTGGAGGTGAAGGGGAAGCTGCTGTGCCTGGACTCCAGGAACCCCGACTACCGGCTGCGGCTCTCGCTGCCGTACCCGGTGGACGACAGCCGCGGCAAGGCACAGTACAACAAGGCGCGGCGGCAGCTGGTGGTCACGCTGCCGGTGGCGCTGGCGGCCGCGCGACAGGACCTCCCGGCGACACCGGAAGAGCCCACGGACAAGACCGGAACTGACGACACAGCCTGCGCTTCCGCGGGCGAATTTGCATCGGCGTCGGTAGAGTCTGCAGATAGGACCGGAGCTGACCACGGGGAGAAGAGCCGTGTGGCAACCCCAGACCCCGGGGCTGCAGACGCTGAAGGGGAGCTCGTTCCCGAGCCGGAGCAGGACTCGGTGGCACCTCTAGGCCTCGGGGAAGGGACTCCTCCTGGGGCCCGAAGCCTCCCTTACTCGGCTTTCCCGGGCGGCGGCGACGCCGAACCCCCCGTGGAAAGGCCGGGAGTGTGCGGAGATTTCAGTGTCCAGACGAGTGAGGAGCAAGAGGGTACCCGGCACGACACCTCGGGCTCAGCCATGGGTGACCCCGGCACCGAGGGCATCGAACCCTTGTGCCCTCCTTTACAGTGTCATCAGGACGAAGGCTCCTTGACTTTGCTCATTCAAGTGCCCGGGATTCAGCCGCAAAGTCTTCACGGGGATCTGCGCCCCCTCAGTTACGAATTGTGCTTCTCCACACAAGACTCAGGTTATTCCTTCACTTTGCAGTTTGCCCCAGAGAATAAATTGAGTACCAAAGAACCCGAGATTAGCATTTCTTTAAATAATGCAGTCATAGTGCTGGCAAAATCTCCAGAGAGCCACGGACATTGGCGAGAGTGGTATTGTGGCTTGAACGACGATTCTTTGGAGGTAACCATTTTCACTATTTGAAATACTCTGTCTTACTTTAAACGTTTTTGTTACAGGCACATAAACAAATATTTTCTATTTATTCATATGATGAAAGATAGTGCCAGTTAAGCTCGTTCTCAAAGCGAAGATTGCACATATTCTATACTATCGATGCACTTCAAGCCTTCAGGGTTGTCCTGTATTACAGCGGTTTACTTGGGGTCCACCGACTAGAAAAAATGATTTTAGTGACTAGACTTCTGGAAATGTATGCAAGAAAATTGAGAGTTCTGTCTTTCCTGAGAAAAAGGTTATAGCTATAGTTAGTAAGATCTTGTCTCAAAATACAAATGTGTGTGTGGGTTGGGCGCTTGGTGATTTCGTTTGAGGTTTATATCAAAGTTATATGTAACTCTGTCATTGAAGAGGCAAAGGTGGAGTTCGGTGGCAGAGTGCTGGCCTGGGGCCTTCCAGAAAGTCAAGTTGTCATAGACATAGCTTTGTAGAGTATTTGACCCTGAGCCCTAGCCTGCCAAAACCGTTCATTTCTTCTAGATGTTTTTCTAAATCAAAATGGGATTAAGGCATATTTGAAGACCTAAGTAGATTTATTATAATTATACCATTAATTATTATTACCTTGATAGGGCTAATGGGATCATAATAACCATTCTTTTATTTTATACTGTACTGCATCAAGCCCCAAGTATCGGGCATAATGATGTGAGCCTGGACTTCTAACATTCAGGAGCCTGAGGCAGGAGGATTATAAGTTTAGGCCAGCCTGTGTATTGTAGTGAGACACAGTCCTAAAGAAACAAAAAGAAGGGGCTGGAGAGATGGCTCAGCGGTTAAGAGCACTGACTGCTCTTCCAGAGGTCCTGAGTTCAAGTCCCAGCAACCACATGGTGGCTCACAACCATCCGTAATGAGATTGGATGCCCTATTCTGGTGTGTCGGAAGACAGCGACAGTGTACTCATAAATAAAATAAATAAATAAATCTTTAAAAAAAAAAAAACAAAAACAAAAAGAAAATTGGGAGTAGTGAGACCTATACAATAATTTCATTACTATATATGTTTTTATGAAACTAGTCATAGAGAGACTTGTGGCTTTCAAGGCCAGAATTGTCACTTTTACACAGAAAAAGTACTAAATACATATTTACACCCTAAATAGTAACCAGGGGGAATTCATAAAGAGTTTTAGGGCCAGTGAATTCAGCCTCTTTTATAATAAGATTGGTCATTAGGATAAATATGAATTTCCTGTAGTTATCATTTTCATACAGATATTTCCTTGGATCAGCTGAAAATCCAAAATATTTGGCATATCTTTTTTCAGAGTGAGGCAAAAGTAATAAATGAATGAATGAATATAAGACCGTGAATCTGCAAATGTTAGCAAGGCAAATTGCTCTATAAAATTCTTCCAATCCATTAGTTCACTTGCAAATTTAAATACTGTTTAATCTAATTGAACATAACTTGAAACTTGTCTTGATTTTTGTCCCCCTCTTTGGACCACATAATAATCTTTACTTTGTAATTACAATATTTACTTAAATAAAAGCACAGAAAATAATCTTATTTGGGGTAACACTGAACCAATCTTATAAATTAAATAATTTTAAATATGGTTAAATGACTAATTCTCACTTCGCATGAATGTAAACAAATTATATGGTGTTTGGATTTCTGTGATAGTAATGTTTAAATTCTCTATTAATAGTTGAGAAATCTTTTATTCTTCAAAACTACTTAAAATAACTATACACATAAAACATTTCACTATATATTATATACTTATATACAGTAAAATATTTCAATTCTTAAAATAAAACATATGGTAACTTCTTGAAAAACCCACACCCATGTTCTCAAGCGTGTCTCTCCGAACGCTCTTTTCCTGAGACAAACCTTGGCTGCCCTGGAACTCCCTTTGTAGAACCATGTCTTTTGCCTCCTGAGCACTGTGAGTAAAGATGTGAGTTGCTATGCCCAGCACATAGTTGCTGTGCTTTAGCCACATAGACTACTATGTAGCTGAAGGTGACCCTACACTTACGATCTTCCTGCCTCTACTTCCTACGTGCTAGAAAATAGAGGTTTGTGCTACTACATCCAGTTTACAGTCAAGAATTTAACAGGTGTATTTGAACAGATCTCGTTCTGTATATTTCTTAGCTGGTTCATTAGGAATTAATAGAAGACTGAACTATAAAACCTCGGTTTTCTTTGTAGCCTTTAAGTGAATATTCCTAAGACATATAAAGAGGTACCAGCACTTAGGAGGTGGAGACAGAAAGATCCCCTGCAGGTACACATAGGCTTCCCTGGACCACCTCAAACACTGTATCTATTTGGAAAAAATAAAAGAAAAATGCTATGTGTAAGACATCCTGGTAGGGAAAGCACACCTCTAGTAAACTTAGGAGAAGCATCGTGACTTCCTTTCCTTTTTTTCTTTCTCTTTTTAGGTAGATTTCATGAATACATGTTTTTCATATTATATTCTGGTCGATTTTTTTTTCTCCTTTTATTTTAGGAAAGATTGTTTATCGATGAAGAAAATGTTAATGAGTTTCTTGAAGAGGTCCTTTGCTCCCCACTGAAGCAAGCAAGGTCTCTAGCCCCACCACTGATTGAGGTTCTCCAGGTTACTGATGATCAGATTCAGATCCATGCAAAGGTAAAAATAGTGACTGACAGCAAGATTATGTGACTGCCAAATGACTGCAGTTCTCAATTCTTGACATCAGAATTTGAAATAGCATGTATATAAAAGATGGGCAGAGTAGTGGTAAGACCTGCATGTCTACTGTGTGATAAAAACTTTTTATGTTACAAATCATTTTATTGTGAGTAGACACTAGAGGGATTAAAAAGTCAAATGAATTTAAAATTTACTAAACAGCAAGTGAACTTGTCAGTGAACCTTAGAATTAGAATTTTACAGTTAGACAAATTTAGTAGTTTGTCTTGTTGTGGTTTGAAACCCAGAATCTTATTATAAAAGCACCACAGCAAAAGCATTTTAAGGCTCACACAACTCAAAAAGATATTCATCATGACCTCACTGCTAAAAATATACCAAAAGACAATTTAGTTAGCTAATCCAAGAAAAATATTTATATGGGAACAACTTCTGCATATGCACTATGTCACACATGTGGGTACACAAATAGTAAAAAAAAAGTGTTTTGCTGCATGTATGTATGTGTACCACACTTGTGCCTGGTGCCCATGGAGGCTCGAAGAGAGCATCGGATCCCTTGGAAGTGCAATCACACAGCTATGAACACACAGCTATGAACACCATGTGGGTTGGGCATTAAACCCATGTCCTCTGGAAGAGTAGCCATTGAGCCTGTTGTCTATCCCCTAAATAAAACATTTCTAAATCTGATTTTTAGAAGGATAGATGTTTTTAATCCCACAATATTCCTCTAGTTATGCATATATATTTAGAAAGTTTGCAGAGATAAGCAAGTCTTTCGGCATTCAAATCATAGAAATGACATCGTAGAATTTACCTCGTTTTTTAGCTGAACCTTAGGTTTGGTTATGCTTATGGCCAACACTGGACAAAAATCACCTAGGAACTAGCATTCCTGACTGAGAAAAGTCGAGAAATTCGGCAGTGCTCTTTTATTAATTAAAAGTCTTTGTAGGCACTCTTTAAAAGCTTGGTCCTTCATTGTGAAGGAGATGAAGAATAATTGAAAGGAATTTCCTTTTTTTTTTTTTTTTAATTTTAACCAGGTTTGATGGTGCAGGCCTTTTTAATCCTAGAACTCAGGAGGCAGAGGCAGGCTAGCCTGATCTACACAGGGAGTTCTAGGACAGCCAGGGCTGTGTAGAGAAACCTTGTCTCAAAGAGAGAAAAAGAAAAAAATGTGCATATATAGATTTTTATTTTATGTGTATATGTTTTATGTATACACTTGTTATAACAAGTATGCTGAGGCCACCAAAGTGGCCTCACATATAACAAGTATGTATGAGGCCGCAGCAACCTGCCACATGGATGCTGGGAACTGACTCTGCTCTTCTCAGCAGGTATTCTCAACTGCTAAATGATTTCTCCAGTCTTAACTGAAAGAATTTAATTAGAAAATCAAAGCCACCAGTCATTGTACCTTAATTTCAGGCAGATCTCAAGTTCCAAGCCAGACCATGTCTAAAAAAAATTTAAGGGTTGAAGAAATGGCTCAGAAGTTGAGAGCACTGACTGCTCTTCTAGAGGTCCTAAGTTCAATTCCTAGCAACCACATGGTGACTCATAACCCCATCTATACTGAGGTCTGGTATCCTCTTCTGGCCTGCATGCATACATGCAGGCAGAACACTGTATACATAATAAATAAATCTTTTAAAAAATTTCTTTTAAGAAAATTGAATCTAGTTTGAGGTTGAGATGGCTCAGTAGGTGCAGGTGTGCTTGCAGAAACCCTGTAAAGGTGAAAGGAGAAAACTACCTCCAGTTACCTCTGAACACCCTCCCTACTACACACACACAATTGAAGGCACTCACTGCCAAGCTTGAGTTTGATTCTAGCACCTATGTGGTAAAAGGTGAGAACCACCTCCTACAAGTTCCCTTCTGACCTCTTTGTATGGACTTCATCATGCATGAACACACATACATACATAAAAGCTATGATTTCATTTCTGTTGCTTCAAACAATTACTAATTTGCTATTTCTCTTGATACAGTCTCAAGAATGTAGTGATCCTGATGGGCTTCAAGGCAAGGAAAAAGGAGTCAAAGAAGGATGTCCTCTAAGTGAAAAAGAAAACACTGAACATTCTACCACCTCTACAGCTGATTCTGATTCATCTGTAGCAGTTGAAGCACCAAAAATAAACACTTGTGTTTCAGCTGTAGGCCTTCAGCACAGCTGTCCTGATGTTCCTCACGTGCTGTCTGGGAAACCTCGGCAACCAGAGGCAAACATGGATCCTGAGTTTATAAGAGAAAGCAGTACTGCCTGCTTAGCTGAGAAAAAGGAAAATATAAAAGAGCCAGTAATAACTAAGGAAAAAAAAATAGATGGAGATCACCTGTCTTCATTACTGAACAAAACTGTAATTCAAAACATACCTGACTTTGACACTATAAAAGAGACCAATATTCAGGATGGTAATGTGCAGATCATTAGAGACCACACGACTCACTGTGCATTCAGTTTTCAGAATTCCTTGCTATATGATTTGGACTGATGTATATAATTTTGAAATTTAAATGTTGAGTAAAAAAAAAATTTGGGACCTAAAACAGCTTCTTAGCGTTTTTAGCTATAAGTTGATGTAAAAACAAACATTTAAAGTTGACTTTGGTGAGGAAACAACCAGCCAGATAACTGTGATCCCAATGCCTCGCACTGGGAACCTGATGGTCAGTTCAGGTCAGGTCAGGCTCAGCTATATAATGAATTTTAGGGGCCAGACTAGGCCACATGAGACCATGTCTTTTTAAAAACAAACAAAAAACCTCTGGAGATACTTTTCTTGAATAGTTTCCTTAATAAGAGAAAGTCTTTGTGATTTTTCTAATAGAGATATTTTTCTCAACCAAAGTATTTAAAATTTTTTTATTTATTTAGAGTCAAGGAGATGAATCCAGAAGACAGTGTGTCTCTGGGATTAAACCCAGGTCACCAGCCTTGGTGGGAAGGGTCTTTGCTCACTGAGCCATCTGTCTGGCCCTTTAGTTTGTGAGACAGGTTGGTTCTGTATTCCCTATATAGCCTGGCCTACCCTCAAAGTCTTCCTGCCTCAGTTCTGAGTGCTGGGACTATGGCATGTGTCGGCATGCTGGACTTCAAAAGATTCTTAGTTGTACTACAAATATATACTGGGTTTGTGTTCAATTTGGTTTTTATATTAAAGTTTCAAAATAAAGACTCACAGAATTACATTTGTTACCTAAATTCTCAAGAATGCAATTAACTGGGATATGATGGAGGACTACAATCCTAAAATATGTTCATATATGTTCCAACATATATATGTTGGAAATAGATTTTTAAGAAGGGAAAGAACTCTACTAACAATGATCTAAATCGCTGGGCAGTGGTGGCGCACGTCTTTAATCCCAGCACTTGGGAGGCAGAGGCAGGTGGATTTCTGAGTTCGAGGCCAGCCTGGTCTACAGAGTGAGTTCTAGAATAGTCCGGGCTACACAGAGAAACCCTGTCTCGAAAAACAAAAAACAAACAAGCAAAAAAAAAAAAACAATGATCTAAATCAGTAGAAATGTAATTTAGCTATTTTGCATCAATTTATTCTTAATAAAGTCTGTCACATATATAATTTAAGATAATTTGGGGTGTAGTTGGATAGCTCAGCAGATAAAGGTACCTGCAAGCAAGCCTGACAACCTGAGTTCAAACCTTGGTACTTGCATGTTGGAAAGAGAATCTACAAGTTTATGCTGACCCCTACACATACTGTGGCATATAAACTTGTGCACACACACACAGATAAAAATACAAAAGATATGTCTTCAAGTTGGGTGTGATGGTGCACATCTTTATCTGCAGTGGCAGGTGAGTCTGTAAGTTCTAGGACAGCTAGGGCTACAAAGAGAACCTGTCTCTAAAAAAAACAGAAAAAAAAGTCAGAGAGAGATCATCCTTTTGGGGATTGGAGACCCTTGCTCTTGAGAGACCCAGGTTTGATCCCTACCACCTACATAACCATCTTAATTTCGAGGTTCAGAAGATATGATGCCCTCTTCTAGCCTATAGGGGCACCATGTTTACCATGTAGCTAACATATACATGTAGGCAAAACATCACTACACATACAGAATGAATTTTTTAAGATTATTCAAAATTGCCAGGCAGTGGTGGCGTATGCCTTTGATCCCAGCACTTAGGAGGCAGAGGCAGGCGGATTTCTGAGTTCAAGGCCAGCCTGGTCTACAGAGTGAGTTCCAGGACAGCCAGGGCTACACAGAGAAACCCTGTTTCGAAAAACCAAAAAAAAAAAAAAATATTCAAAATAAACTCTAATGTCTTGGAAGTTAAAGTATGAAAAACATCTTTTGGTTTTAAAGAGTGTTTAAATTTCCTAAAGAGGCTGGAGAGATGGCTCAGTAGTTAATGCTAGCTGCTCTTTGAGAGGATCCTGGTTCAATTTCCATCATCCACCTAGCAGCTCACAGCTATCTGTTAACTCCAGTCCCACAGGATCCAATGCCCTCCTCTGACCCCCACAGGTGCCACACAGATACACATGCAGACAAAATACCCACACACAAAAAAATAAATTTAACTTAGAACAAGAATTTAAAAAAAAATCTAGCCATTTGTTCTGACAAAAAAACCAACTATTTTTAACATCAATTTATAACTCTTAAAATGAGGTAAAGAGATCCTAACATTCGTGGGTTTGTTTTTTTTTTTCACAAAATATTTTAGAACAGCATGAAAGAAAATGTCAATGAGGAAATCTCCATGGATGTCATCACTAGCCCCAAGGCTATGAGCTGATCTAGTTCTGTTTCGGAGAAGGCTACTAATTAGAACTAGCCTTTGAACACTCCTGAAAACCACTTTCTTTTGTCCTTTGAACTGGTGATGTTAAAAAAAAAAAAAAAAGAAGTGGTGATGTCAGGTTAGGATACTATACAGGAGTGTAAATCCTGGAGAATGGATTTAGATCTCTCCTCATACAATGCTGAGCATTATGCACTGGGAGTATAGCTTGGGGTACAGCCCTTGTGTTGCATGCAAGAGACTCTGTAGTCCCAGCTGAAGGCAGAAGTGTGAGGGTAATAAACACAAGGCCAGCCAGAGCTATGCACACAAAGCAATCTTTAAAAAAGCAAAAAGAATAAGCTCAGTGGGTACCTGCCACCAAAGTGCCTGGAGTTCTGTCCCTGAAACTCACAGGGACAACATCCTCTGACCTTCACCACGTACCACCAACACGCATGTGTACACCCGCACATGTGCACAGAGGGTACAAATGTGGTAAAACATTTCAAAAGCCAAAAAACAGACAACTTTGCTTTACCTTGAAAAAGCACACTTCCAGTATGACTGGTGAAAGAAAAGTCTTGAGACTTTGGTTCAAATGATCAAGTTATCTTTACACAGAAATGAGTCCTCTATAATTTTTTTATACAATTATATCATGGAAAAGTAATATAAAATATAGAGTAAGCCTAAAGATTGCTTCTTACTCCTGTGACTGTCCTTTTAAAAAGTATCTCAGTCACAGTTGGCACCAGTCCTGCTGTACCTTGGCAAAACTGAACTTTGTATCATTTCTGGCCTTCAAAAACAATTTAGGCAGTACTTTCCTTATGCAGCAGCTTTTATTGTTGTTCATTATCTATGCTTGGCTAATTTGAAAGCCAAACAATTTTTTCCTAAGAGAATGCACTGTCATGAATAGGCTTCACTTTAAACTCACACAATGTATAGCTAGAAAATATTAAGATGTAATGTTCATTCTCAAAACTTCTAAAATGCCTTTGATACAAATGGAAGATTCTGCAAAATGATTAGGGAATTTTATGCAAAAATGAGTATTTTATTTTGGCAGCACTAAAAAGAAAAAAAATCAAAATCACTGTATTTCTACATTGAGGTGAAAACATTGCTTAAACTTTCTTATTAATCAAATACATTCCAAAAGAAATCATGTAGTATGTATGCACAGGCAAATCTTAACACAATAGCACAGGAATCAGTAATACTGAAAATGACTCTTCCAACTGGGTGCTTAGCAAACTTAAAACTTCTGAGTTATTAAACCAAATAATTACTTTCTAATAACTGTGTCAATAGTGAAACTGGGTCTGTCCCAGCAATACTCTAATGATTTCATTGTAATACTTTTTACTGTTGTTGACAGTTTTAAATAAATCTTGTTGTACTTAAAATAACTTTTGAAAGTGGAAAAGTATACAAAGTTTTAGATAAAAAGATTAACAGATGTGATTTAAATAAAATTTCCCCTTCTTTTTATCAATAGTCTAATCATTACCTTTAAGCAGATACAGACTGAATTTTAAAACCCATGTCCCAAAATGAAAATTTGTTTGAAATTTTAATCAGTCATAACTGAAAAGGATTACTATGTATTTGGACACCTTTTACAAGAAGTTTATGTATTAAAGCAGAAACCAGTTCCTATACCCTTTATTCAATTGTATATCCCATTGAGACAAATATAAAAAATAGAAGACTGTCACTTTTGCTTTTGCAATTGTGATTTTTCTTTCTCACTGCAGTCTTCTATAACTTTTACAGAGTTCATGGTCCCTAATATCTCCCCACCCTCCATTTTTCCTAGGTGGGGAAATGGCCACCATAGGAAACTTCTCACCGATAACTAGAGTTTCTGGAAACATGTACTGTTTGTTATTATTTAATAATGACTCAATTTGGGCACTCTGGGTGGACGGCCTACATGTTTTCTTGTGATGCATACCACAGTCTCCAGCATGAAAAATCCTAGGAGCCTGAGGAACTAAGACTTTCCAGACTTTAGGAAGACAAGCTAGAGTCAAATATTGAAGAGTCCAGTCCCAGTTATAATCATCGTAAGTACAGAAAGTGTCCGTGCACTCGATAAGCTTCTGATACGCTTCTCGGGTCAAGGCTAGCCCCATATTGTGCTCTGTAGATTTCCAAGTTTTCACATCTACTTTGTCAGCAATGCCATAGAAACTCCGAATGGTGGTGTAGGTCCCTAGAGAGAGGACGTCACACCCAGGACACTCCTGCTGCTTCAATTTCCACATCTTTTTGAAGACATGGTAAAAGTCTGGGGCTAAGTAGTGGTCCTCTTCCAGGAAAAGTATAAGGCCAGTGTAATCTTGAAGAACTTTGACTCTTTCCCATACAAAATGCAGCTTCCACCACCAATGATGTTTGGTTTGCGAGAATTTGGCCTCTCTGTAATGGCCGAAAGAGTCAGGATACTCGGCATTGATGCACCCCAACTTCAGAGCTGCATTCTTCTTTAGGTCTCTGGGGCAATCTCTGGGGTCACTACCCGGAAACTCACTCGGGTACAGCTGAATGCTGAACGGAAAGAACACTTGCAGAACCGGGCAGAAGTCCACCTTGGAGATCAGATTGTTGATCTCTGCGGACCAGAAGTCATGGCTAAAGATGACTAGGACCTCATGAATACCCTGGGCTTTTCGAAGCGAGTCTATCAGCAGCCTGAGGTATTCCGGCCTGTTATGCACCTGGACCACCACCACCAGCTCCCCGGGGCTCCAGGTGCCGTCACGATCGA